GTAGTCCCAGCTACTCGGGAGGCTGAGGCAGGAGGATCGCTTGAGCCCAGGAGTTTGAGGTTGCTGTGAGCTAAGATGACGCCACGGCACTCTAGCCCAGGCAACACAATGAGACTCTGTCTCAAAAAAAAAAAAGCTAGAAATGATTAAGCTTAGTGAGGAAGGCACGTGGAAAGCTGAGATAGGCTGAAAATTAGGGCTCTTGTGCTAGTGGGCCAAGTTGTGAATGCAAAGGAAAAGTTCTTGAAGGAAATTAAAAGTGCTACTCTAGTGAACCCACAAATGATAAGAAAGAGAAACAGACTTATTGCTGATATGGAGAAAGTTCTGGTGATCTGGATAGAAGATCAAAGCGGCCATAATATTCCCTTAAACCAAAGCCTAATCCAGAGCATGGCCCTAACTCTCTTCAGTTCTATGAAGGCTGAGAGAGATGAAGAAGCAGAGGAGGAAAAGTTGGAAGCTAGCAGAGGTTGGCTCATGAGGTTTAAGGGAAGAAGCAGTTTCTGTAACATAAAAGTACAAGGTCAAACAGCAAGTGCTGATGGAGAAACTGCAGCAAGTCATCCATATCTAGCTAAGATAACGGATGAAGGTGGCTACACTAAACAACAGATTTTCAATGTAGATAACACAGCCTTGTATTGGAAGAAGATGCCATCCAGGTCTTTCGTAGCTAGGGAAGAGAAGCCAACACCTGGCCTCAAAGCTTCAAAGGACAGGCTGACTCTCTTGTTAGGGGCTAATGCAGCTGGTGACTTTAAGTTGAAACCAATACTCATTTACCATTCCAAAATTCCCAGAGCCCTTAAGAATTATGCTAAATATACTCTGCCTGTGCTCTATAAATGGAACAAAGCCTGGATGATAGCACATCTGTTTTTAGCATGGTTTATGGAGTATCTTAAGCCCACTGTTGAGATCTACTGCTCAGAAAAAAAAAAGATTTTTTTTCCCAAAATATCTCTGCTCATTGCTAATGCACTTGATCACCCAAGAGCTCTAAGGGAGGTGTACAAGGAAATTAATGTTGTTTTCTTGCCTGCTAACAGAACATCCATTCTGCTGCCCACAGATCAAGAAGTAATTTCAACTTTCAAATCTTCTTATATACGAAATACATCTCATAAGGCTGTATCTGCCATGGATAGTGGTTCCTCTGATGGATTTGGGCAAAGTAAATTGAAAACCTTCTGGAAATTATTTACCATTCTAGATGCCATTAAGAAGATTCGTGGGCTGGGCATGGTGGCTCACGCCTGTAATCCTAGCACTCTGGGAGGCGAGGCGGGATGATCTCTTGAGGTCAGGAGTTCAGGACCAGCCGGAGCAAGAGTGAGACCCCATCTCTACTAAAAATAGAAAAATTAGCTGGGCGTGGTGGTGCACTCCTGTAGTCCCAGCTACTCAGGAGGCTGAGACTGGAGGATCGCTTAAGCCCAGGAAGTTGAGGTTGCAGTGAGCTATGATAACATCACGGCACTCTAGCCCGGGGAACACAGTGAGACTCTGTCTCACACACACACACAAAAAGTCTAGAAGGATACTGCATATACCTTAGTGAAAAAATTAAAAAATAAAGTCTAGAAGGAGAGATACCAAACTATTATCAAGGGCTCTGCCAGGGCTATCACTTGCTCTGAATTATTTGAAGTTTTAATATAAATAATTCATCATCAGAAAAATCGCATGACTCTGTGTGTGTGTGTGTGTGTGTGTGTATGTGTGTGTGTGTTAGATTAAAATAAGACTTCTGGCTTAGGTAAGGAATTCCAAAATTGGAGACTGAACACTGGTAAAATATGGCAGAGTTGGTTTTTCCTCAGTTCAGAAATCACTTAGTCCCAGGTCTGGGTGTCTGCAACTGTGGTGAATTCAGCTTTGGAGCAGAAATTTCCTTAATTAATAATAATAATAATATTAATAATAATCATAGGAGCCTCCCCAGAGTGCTTCATACTTTGCACTGTCATTTTGTTCGATCCAGAGAGCAATCCCACGAGATAGGCAGGGCGGGGGTGCTCACTAAGGAGATGGGGTTCCCGCATGGGAAGTGGTTCTGGAAGACAGCACAGGAACTGGAAGCCACGGGTCTGAGCCCCTGGCCCCTTCCAGCCGTGAAGCCTGAACAAAGTAGAATCGCCAGGCTCCCAGCCCAGTGCCTGGCACACAGCTGTCTTCAGGGCACCCCGGCACCTCCTCCTCCAGGTGCTCCATGGGTCCTCGGGGGGCTGCTTCACTCTGATTGTGTGATCTGCACCCGTATCATGTCTACTTTTCCTCAAGCTCTCTCTGCTGTAGCCAAACTCATTGTTTCCTTTCATTGTTGCCCTTCCCGCCTTCATCACGCTGTTCCCTTGTCCTAGAATATCATGTCCCTTTGTTCTCAGCCTCCTCCAACCTTCCGGCTTCTCTACGCATCCAAATCCTACAGGCCCTGCGGGACCTGTAGCAAAGGCCACCTCTTCCCCAAAGGTGCACCAGCCCCCCGCTGGACAGCATGGTCCTTCCCCAGGCCCCAGGCCCCCATCTGCTTTGCTCTTGGGACACTACCACTTCCTGCTTACGCAAGAGCTCTGCAGGTGTGCGCCTGGTCTAAACCGGAAACTCTTCTGGGGAAGGCGCATGTCCCATTCACCCACGTTTCCTCAGTGCTGGCCCTACACGCAGTAGGTGCTCAGTCGCTTTGGTTGCTGAGCGAGGGGCGCGTGGGTGCGTGAGAGCTGTGAGAGCATGGGGGCAGGGCAGGGCATGGGTGAATGGAGGGAGGGATGGGCAGAGAGCGGGGTGACTCCTCTAACCCGTGGCGGTCCTGGCCCTGGCCTTTGCTGACAATGGCAATGGGATCACAGCCAACGCTTCTCAGGGTAAATAACCCCAGGGCTCTGCCCCCCTAGGTCCTGCCCATGTCATAAAACAGCAAGAGCTTCCTCTTCAGGGCAGGACGGAGAAGAGGATGGGGTGATTTAGGGGCTGAGCCTCAGTAATGGCAGAGTTTATAAGCCAGGACACCAGACCCCTCGGCACCAACCATCCTTCTCACCCCTCTGCTCTCTGGCCCTCCAGCCTCCCAGCAACATGGCCTTCAGCGGCAAGTTTGAGCTGGAGAGCGAGAAGAATTATGACGAGTTCATGAAGCGCCTCGGTGAGTGAGCTCCTGAGTATGCCTTCCCTGGGGCTGGTTTGTCACAGCCATCTCGGGGCCAGGAACCCAAACCCCTAAGGTAGAGTGGGACAGGACTTCATTCATGCACACACTTGTTGAGCAACTACTCTGTTCTAGGCTCTGAGGATAACAAGAACAATAAGACATTCTTTAAAACACTTACAGAATATTAGTATCTCCACTTTACTGAGGGAAAACTTAAAGCCCAGAGGAGTTGAGTAACTAGCTCAAGGTCACACAGCTAGTAATTAGTGAAGTGGAGACTTGTCTGAAGTAGAGATTTGATGTTTATTCATTAAAGCTTTTATTGAACATCTGCTATATGCAAGGGCTATCCCAGTGTTATGTGATGGGGCCTCAGCCTGACTTGTCTAAGTCAGTAGCCAAGGTCATTAACACCCAGGATCCTATGATGAGTGATATCATGACATCCTGCCTAGGAGAGGTGACCAAGGGGTAAGTCTGAGACAGTGCAATTGTCAAGATTCAGAAGACAGCCCCAGGGGACCTGGGCCCTACATCTTGGTGGCCACATCTTGCCTGCCCACTGGTCCAGAGCCCTGAGAGCAGGGTCTTTGTGTCCTGGGGCCTTGGGGAGGCAAGAGCCCTTTGGAGTCAATTATTGGCAGTGGCCCTAAAGGAACAGTGGCTGGGCTTCACCTACAACTGTCCAGTGCTGTGGAACTGGAAGTGAGCCCACCTCAGTTCTAGACCCGATTCTGCCATTAAACTCCACCACGAAGCCGGGAACCCACTCTCCTGCTCTGGGTCTCCGTTTCCTACCTGCAAAATAGAAGCATTAGACGACACAGTCTTGAAGGTCTCATTCATCCCAGAACTTTTCGAGTTTGGCGAGTTTCTGTTATATTTATATGCTGTTACCCTCAGAAGATCAGGTAGGCCAGGCACGGTGGCTCACACCTGTAATCCTAGCACTCTGGGAGGCCAAAGCGGGAGGATCACTTGAGCTCAGGACTTTGAGACCAGCCGGAGCAAGAGTGAGACTCCATCTCTACTAAAAATAGAAAAATTAACTGGGCATGGTGATGTGCACCTATAGTTCCAACTACTTGGGAGGCTGAGGCAGGAGGTTGTGAGCTAGGTTGTGAGTTGAGGCTGTGAGCTAGGCTGACGCCACTGCACTCTAGCCAGGGAGACAGAGAGAGACTCTTGTCTTGGAGAAAAAAAAAAGAAAAAAAGATCATCTATTATTAACAAGCACCCACTATGTGCCAAGGAGCTTCGCAAGACACAATCGAGTTGAATTTAATTCTAGCAACAGCCCTGGGAGATGTGCCTTATTATCCCCAGATTGTGGATGAAAACACTGAGGCTCAGGGAGAGAGTGACTTGTCCTGGCCACCCGGCTTACAGCAGAGCTGGGATTTGAAGGCATGTACTATCTGTCTCAGGCACTGTGTTCTTAACCTGCAGGCCCCGGGGATGGGGGGAGCTCTTTCCCCAAATCATGGGTTAAAGGCAGCTCTTAAATGGCCACTCTGCTTGTCGCTGGGCTCAGGTCTCTCCAGCGACGTGATTGAAAAGGCCCGCAACTTCAAGACCATCACGGAGGTGCAGCAGGATGGGCAGGACTTCACCTGGTCCCAGAACTACTCCGGGGGCAACATCATGACCAACAAGTTCACCGTTGGCAAGGAATGCGACATACAGGCCATAGGCGGCAAGAAGTTCAAGGTGAGAGGCTGCTGGCCGACTTCTCCATCTCAAACATGTCCTCTCTGCTCCCAAGCCAAGGTCCCTTTCTCTAGTTTAGCCTCCAGCATTAAGAGCTTGGGTTACTTGGCAATTTAATGCTCCTGGTTTTTAATGGTCAATAACGGACATTATAATGATAATAAAAATAGCTAGTATTTGCTGAGCATTTACTACAACCTAGATGCTTGCTAAATAGTTGATTCATCTTAACGCAGTTAATCCTATGAAATTGCTACAATTACTCTCTGCATTTTAGAGATGGAGGGGCAGAGTCATGGGATTAAATAGTTTGTCCCCTGTCCCACAGCAGGGACAGACCTTCACGCCCAGGCTTTCACACCGAGGCAAGTAACTATCTGAGCCTTGGGCAATCTGGCTCCAGAGATTATAAACCAACTTTTTGTGCTGTCTCCTGGGGTAGCCCAGGCCCTGGGGCCAGCCCCAGCTGGATTTGAAATCCTGCTCTCCCACCTGCAACTGCGAGGCCTTGAGCAAGTCATTTCATATTCCTGAGCCTCAGATCTCTAGTGTGCAAAATGGGGCTAGGTGCGCTCCTGGCTCAAACAAAGAGCTGCGGTGAAGATTAAAAAAGAAATGCATGGGAGCACCTAGCAGAGTGGCTGCCGTGTAGTGAATGCTAGAAGAAAACGATTTAGTAATTTGCTTTTTTTTTTTTTTTTTTTTTTGAGACAGAGTCTTTCTCTCTCTCTCTCTCTCTCTCTGGGCTAGAGTGCCATGGCGTCAGCCTAGCTCACAGCAACCTCAAACTCCTGGGCTCAAGCGATCCTCCTGCCTCAGCCTCCCGAGTAGCTGGGACTACAGGCATGTGCCACCATGCCCGGCTAATTTTTTCTATATATATGTTTTTAGTTGTACAGATAATTTCTTTCTATTTTTAGTAGAGACGGGGTATCGCTCTTGCTCAGGCTGGTCTCGAACTCCTGACCTTTACTGATCCACCCGCTTCGGCCTCCCAGAGTGCTAGGATTATAGGCGTGAGCCACCATGCCCCGCCAGTAATTTGCTTTTGTTGTAGAGGTGAGGGAACTGATGTTCAGGGAGGCCAAGTAGTGTGTCCAAGGCCCTGCAACCAGAACGTGGTCGGGGACAGGGATTTGGACCGCAGCTGCTTGCGTCTAATCCTTAGACTGTCTCCACAGCACGCTGCCTCTGCAGCGGACAAGCCCCCATCTGGGACACAGGAGAGCCGGGCCACTGAGTAATTTGGTCTTGTGGTTCTTTCTACAGCAAAGTTCTAGGTGCCGTGATGAATCCCTGCTTGGCCTCTGTGTTCCACGCCGACCTGTCCCACCCACACATGCATTTCTCATTTGCCGAGGGTAAACTGGCCCAGGCCCTCGCACCCTGGCAGTCTGGCTGCAGAGATCCTACCCACTGCTGTCGTGCTGCCTCCCAGCGTAGCACAGAGATGACATGCTTGGGCCCCGCAGTTCGCCTTATCTGGGTTTGAATCTGCAGTCTTGAGTACAGAGAAACAAAAGGTGGCTGTGCCGACCGTGTCTGGGCCGGTCTCTCAGGCCTTCCACCCATTCTGGATCCCCTCTGCAGACCCCAACCATGACCATGAGGGTACTTTGCTCCCCAGGATGTCAAAGTGGAGAATAAGTAGCCACAATATTCATCTTCTGCCGCTTGAGTTTTTAAAAAATTTAACAGTCTCTCATGGGAGTCAACATATCGGTTTGCCTTATTCCTTTTAATGGTTACACAGTATCCTAGAGCATGGAAATGCCGTAATTTGTTTAAGCACTCCCTCATGGAGAGATGTTTAGGTTATTTACTGGTGGGTAGCCTAAGTTGGATAGTTAGGTTGTTCACTGTTACAAACAGTGCTGCAGTCAACACCCTTGGATAGCATCATATTGTCCTAAAACCGATGACCATACCTAACTCTGCAGTTGACACTTGGGGAGAGCTCACCGCATGCCAGACACGGTTCTCTCTACACTGTATGTGTGTCATTTAATCCTCCCAACAACCTATGAGGTAGGTACCGTTACTACCTCCATTTTAGAGGTGGGTAAATGGAGGCACAGAGAGGTTAAGTGACTGATTCAAGGTTATCTATCTATATCTTTAGAAATATGTAATTACATGTCTGCAGGCAGATTCCTAGAGGAGCTCACTGGGCTGTAGGGAAGCTCTTCATCCGTGAGGGGCTGGCCTGTGCGGGGAGCCCGGATGCCGCAGCCTCAGTGTTGTGCTTCCCTTCCAGGCCACCGTGGAGCTAGAGGGCGGGAAGTTGGTGGTGAACTTCCCCACCTACCGCCAGACCTCGGAGATTGTGGGTGACAAGCTGGTGGAGGTGAGTGTGCTGCTGGTACCTGGCTCACTGCAGCCTCAAATTCCTGGGCTCAAGCGATCTTCCTGCCTCAGCCTCCCGAGTAGCTGGGGCTATAGGCACAAGCCACCACCCCAGCTAATTTTTTTGTTTCTTTTAGAGACTGGGTCTCACTATGTTGGCTGGCTTTGAACTCCTGGGCTCAAGTGATCCTCCCACCTTGGCCTCCCAAAGTGCTGGGATTACAGGCGTGAGCTACCATGCCTGGCCTTTCATGTCTTCTTATAAGCACACCAATCCCTTATGACCTAACTACCTCCTAAAGGTCCCATCTCCAAATGCCATCACATTGGGGATCAGGGCTTCCACATATGATTTTGAGGGAGGAGGGACCACAAACATGCAGTCCCAAGAGGCTCTGTGCCCTCCCACAATTCCCATTTTACAGAGAAGCCTTACAAGGCTCAGAGACATCATGTGACTTGCCCAAGGCCACACAACTAGTGCATGGTAAAGGCAGATCCCATCACCTGACTTTTTTTTTTTTTTTTTTTGAGACAGAGTCTCACTTGTTGCCCGGGCTAGAATGAGTGCCGTGGCATCAGCCTAGCTCACAGCAACCTCAAGCTCCTGGGCTCACGCGATCCTCCTGCCTCAGCCTCCCGAGTAGCTGGGACTACAGGCATG